CAGCAAGGACTCAGCCTCAGTACATGGGTCGCCAGCTCTACCCACTGAGCTAACTGGGCACCCCTTAATGAGAAATTTTGACAGCAAATTGATGTAGGCCTAACATTATGACAAACTCATCACTTTTGTTGTATGAGTTGGCGCGGTCTGGAATTTAATATTAGTCTAGACATACTTTCTCTAAACAAAACAAAAGCTGCAGTTTCTGGCTGCAAATAGACGACAGGCTGGCCTTCTTGTTATATTAATATTGTAATATAAGCTGGCTTGCTATGTCCTGTGTTGTTGCACTTGCTAGATGTTTGGCTGTTAGCGATGTTGTCGACTCGCTAGGTTTTGTTCGAAAGAAATTACATTTTACTGTAAACTTCATCAGCTCAGGTTGCCCTGATAGCTCACCTGGTAGAGCTGCCGCCCCACTTAACGAGGCTGAGCCCTTGCTGCAGTGGACATGGTCTCAACTCCAACCTTTGGTCCTTTGCTGCGTGTCATCCCCTTTCTCTTTTTTTGTCACTCTTCAGCTGACACTATCAATTAAAAACAGTTAAACCCAAAACAAATATTAAAAGTTAAGTGTTGTCATTGTCATCAATTATGCAATATTAGGAACCATTTAATGGCTGTCCAGATCTGTAGACTATTTAGAAATTCACTCTCTATACACATTCATTGCTATTGTATCAGGCTGATATCTCAAAACTTGAGCAAACCAGATCAAAACTATCTGTGTGGCTAGATACCATGAATTTACAGGTCATTGCAACTAAAACAAAATCTGTGTTTACCTTTGATGGATTATTGGTCTCTTAAGCAATTCTTGCATCATGTGTTTGTTTTGTAGCTCGTATTTTCTTTACACCTCTGATTGCAATGATACATCAGAGGTTGAGATGTCATCATCAGGTGTGAAAATGCTCCTTAATGAGACACATACACAGTCATTAAGAACAGCTAAAGACCTACACACAGAGCCGTTCAGTGGAGACAAATTAAATGTGAGAGATGCTAATGATGTGTGTGTGTGTGTGTGTGTCTGAACAACAATAGGAAATGTCTTGTGATAATGTACAGTAAGTAGGTGTTTTCCAAAGTTCTACACTGATCTACCCAATATGTCCAAAAGTATGGGGACACCCCTCTCCATGATTTGGATTTGGCCCTTTAGTTCCATTGACAGGAAATCATAATCCTACAGCTTACAGTGATGTTTTAAAAAGTGTGCTTTCAACTTTTGGTAAGACCTAGGGTGGCACAATTACTCGAACAAAACAACAGCATTATAATGAAGTACTGTAGCACTGCAGAAATGCCATGACCTATAAATCATGTTCTCACAACGTAGGAAAACATGTTTGTTTGTTAAAGACCATAAAACATTTCACATCAAAATTATTTTAATATTTTTTTTATTTAAAATAAAATTTGTGATGCAAAAATGATCATTCACACTAAACGTGAATCATATAATAATATCTGTCACAGTAATTGCAATATGATGTTTTTACCATTTAATGCAACCCTAGTAAGACCCTTTCCTGTTTTAACATGTCAAAGCAAAGTCCATAAAGAAATGGTTTTCCATGCCATATGCATTCCAGTAGTCACTGCATGCTCCAGCTCTATAAAGACATGATAGCCAGGTGGCTAACGTCATTTAACTAATCTAGCTATGTTGCAGTCAGATATCTTATTTGCTAGCAAAGGACACAATAAGCTATGTTATACCAATTATGCACTGAATATTATATGTTTTCTAAGACACACAGAGTTCCTTGTGGACTGCCAGGCTTCGTCCTGTGGCCAATCACAAAAGATGAGGACTGCAACAAATCATATGCAGAGAGCCAATGGCAAACAACTCCACATTAAATGAAAGGTCAGGGGATCACTAAAATGTGAGACTTAATCATGTCCTAAATTAATCAACCATGAATGTCTGTACAAAAGTTTGTCCCAATCCTGTAGATGTTGAGTGAAGTGAAAACGTTGACCTACTGGTGGTAAAGAAACCAGATGATCACCAAAGTTAGTTCTATTATTCATCTTCTTGGCACTCAGAATGTCTGGATTACATTTCGTGACAATTAATTTAATAGCTGATGAGCTATTTCAGTCTGGACCAAAGTGGTAGGCTGACGAACAGAACGATGTTGTCATCTTTAGAGCCATACTACTAATATTACTAAAATCTGAGCTAGTTAACAAATGGTTGGAGACTTCATCCTTTATTTGTTAATGTGTAAAACCAACTGTGTCTTACCAAAAGATGGCAGCAGTGTCAAAAGAGATACAACCTCTAGCCTGTGGGCAGAATGTACCACAAGTAATTTGACACTTCAGATGCAACAGTTTTTGAAAGATATATTGGTTCAGTGGGATTTATTACACAGCATTTAATTGAGGACATTTTTCATCTTAAAAAATGATATTTAAATTCTAATAGATGAAGCAGTAGGGGAAGTGAAGGGAGTTACATATGCTTAAAGTGGCTTGTGGTGTTGCAGCAAAGATTTTCAGCATTAGTGTATGCAGACAGAATGAGGTAAATGTTAGACTAGGGTTGTGGTCATGTATGATTGGATGGTGTATAGAACATGTGAGGGAGGAGAATTCACACGGCAAGAAACCAAACTATAAAAGATTCAACAGTTTTCAGACACTTAAGCGTCACTGAGCAGTGTCTGTGATACAGGTAAATACACACTTTATAACACTTTATATTGACAGTTACTGTAAACTGCAGAATAACAAATACTATGTTTCTGTCAGCAGGAAGGACTACTACATAAAGAAGAAAAAAAGCATCACATTTCTACTGTCAGAGGGTTTCCATCTGATTTTACTCACTCTTCAATATCACAGTGTCAGTAAGTATTAACACAGGCCTTTTACCTTGTGGTTGTGTTTTTTTGCTTTGAAACTGTTTGCAAATCGTCATTATTTAACATTTTTTAACGTAGCTTTTTAAAAAAAAAATTATTTTGCTGTATTTCTATTAGTGTCACTAGTCAACCCTGGCCGCAGTATTGTTTGGTTGACTCATAACTGCCCTAATAACATTAAACATTTAAAATGTTTTTTTTACAGGCCAGCTTTACTTGTAAACGTGTGAATCAGCAAACTGCAGTATAGACAATATCCAGTCACTGCACTCAGAGCTTCTTGCAGGCCAGGCTTTGAAGGGCAGTATGACTTGGCCACAGCAGCTCTTAGAGTTAAATTTAAATTTAAGCATGATATAATGTTTATTATTGTAACCATCTTAGTAACATTTGCTAATTAGCACTAAATAAAGAGTACAGTATCATTGTTGAAAGCTCGTCATAAACAAAGTATTGGATACATCGATGTTCGACTTGATGATGGCACAAGAGAAGGGTCAGGGGGTCACGAATCTCCGTACCAGATTGCATGGCAATCCATTTATTAATCAGTGAGATATTTCAGTATGGACCCAAGTGGTGGATCGACAGACCAACATTGCCAGCCGTAGGCCCATGCTACTATCTACCACCAATGTCGTAAAATTTATTTTTCCTGCCTTTTCTTTAACAGGGAATCATGAGGATCCAGGTTGTCTGTTTGTTGCTGGTGCTGCTCACTGCCACTGTGCTCACTCGGGATACAAAAATCAACCAGCGTTACAAGAAGTTCATAAACCAGCACATCAATGAGAATATGGATGCAAGAAGCTGTGATGAAGAGATGAAAGCAAGAAAAATCAACATCAAGAAAAGCATGTGTAAGAAGATCAATACATTCATCCTAGCGAGCGCCGAAGATGTGAAATATGTCTGTAAAAAAGGAGAGAAAGTTGGTAAAATGACCAAAAGCAATAGAGGCTTTGACATTGTTGTCTGCAACCTTAAAAAACAGCAGGGCAAGCGTGCCAAGTGTCAGTACCATGGTGAGAAACTCAACAATAAAAAAATTCTGATCAAATGTGAAAAAGGATTTCCTGTGCACTATGATGGAGACATTGGTTACTGTGACAACTGATTGAACAGCTAATGTACTTCACTTGTTTCTTAAATAAAATGCTTTTGACAGTTTGACATTTGTGTATGTTTTATAATATAACCTCAAACAATAATCAACAGAGTTGTTTTGGATACCATTAGAAATAATATCTATTAATAATGGTTACTGTATGATTGGTCAGGTATTCGATTGAAACCTCCAGAACAGTTAGTAAATGAACCTTGAGGATTGTTTTGACAACTCTTACTCCCAAAGTTTAACAATGAACCTTAAATGGAAGTTTTTAGATGATGTCCCAAACAGCATTGGACTTTACTGAAGTGTCACTAAACTATTATCCTATTAGTGTTATCTATTACATGAATATATACACTCCCCTGGACTTAAGATAGTATAAGGTGGTTACAAACAGGAAAGCATGCAACCACTCCTACAGAGTGCTCACTGAACTTTCTAGGGTGTGTTTATTATATTACAGATTTATTTATTAATTATAATACAGAACTATTGTTTCTGAGATTCTTCATTCTCAGAAGTCCAAGACAAGTTCAAGTCCAAATGAGGGAGACAAATTCACGACCACGACAGAAAAAAAAAACAATCCCCTTCAAGACAACTTACTTATACCAGTTAATAATTTTTGTGTTGCTAGAGCGACAGCATATCTTCTATTTTAAAGTGTTTATTTTTCACTATTTTTTTGTAATGATCAAAAAGCAAATGCAACGAAACAACAAATTAGGCCATATTATTTAATTCAAATATAGCAGTTTCACTTGATATCATACTCAACACTCCCTAAATACAAAACAGCATATAGCCTGAGAGCGGTGTTGTACGGTATTTATCAATGCTTTTATTTTGAAGGAGGAAGTTACTTCAGAAAAAAAAAAATATATATATATATATATATTGCTAGACTCAGTTGAGACCAACTACAATATCTGATGAATATTATATATAAAGTCCAAGACAAGTCCGAGACAATAGAAAAGTCATAGTTAAGTCAGTTATAAGCATTGTTGTATCATTCAAAAACAATGTAAATATGATCATCAATGTGTAATCTGTGTAGTCTTGCAGCACTGTGATATGCACAACAGCCTGGGAAACTAACAGAGTCATACACTCTTCTTACACAGAACAAAAGCTGTGGCTGCCCATTTCTCAGCCCCTGACCAAACACCTACACTAATTACTCAGAACAGGCTTGAGATGAATACCACAGTATGTTGAAGGTTAGAAAAACAAATAAAGGTTAGAGATAAGTTCTCAGGTTGTGGTTGTGGACAAGGTGTTTACAAAATGGTGATGCATGAAGCTCTCTGAAAGAAAGCCTTACACAGCCATCAAACAAATGAATCTAGAATGCTATTTCTTGTCCCAGTATTTCAAGAGGATTTGTAATCTTGGTTCCTTGTTGCTGTATGCTCATCAGTGGTACTGTACTCAGGTAGAATTCCTCCTTCAAACTTATCAGCATCTGGAACTCTTCTAGGTCCAAGATGATCCATTTAGTTGCTTTTTATTCTCCATCTCACAGGGGAGAAATTTACAGTCACCTGCCACTTGTCATTAACAAATGTCAGATCCTTTATTTCTCCCTGATGTTTAATTTTAATCAGGAAAAAAACATTTCTGCTGCCATTATTTGGTGATTTGAATATTGTCTGCATAAAAACGCTAATGGAAGCATATAGTGGGATTTTTATGCTGTACAAATATCTTTACAAAACATTGAAATATACTATACTTAGGAAAGGTTTGCATCAGTCAACGTAGTTCTTTCGCTCTTGTTACAACACTGTGCAAAGGTAATTTGCACACTTGCCTGGAAACAACCAGCAAAGCCACATGCAGCAGCTGCGCTGACAGACAAAGGCTGTGGCAGGCCATTTTGGTCAAAGGCTAATTCTTCATATACACAAGTGCATCATGAGGATAGAGGTGCAAAAAATAAGAGCTACATGACTAGACTAACCAGTTTTTGATTATTTGAGTTTATGCTTCCCTGTGTTCAGTATGTTTTTTTTTATGATGCCCATTGTAGTTTAAGAATACTAGAGCGCCATCTGGTGGTGAACCTTTAACAGATCCTACCAGGGGAATCAATGGGTGAAAACAACACATAGAGTTTTACATAATTGACACTTGTCTGTTATTTGTTTGTTTGTTTGTTTGAATCTTATGCCATCAGATCATTTTTAGAATATATAATCAGGACATGTATGGCCCATACATACTTATCCCATACAGTATGGGATAAAGAAGTCACTTTAATTTTGTGAAATCCCCTAAGCAGAAACATAGGCATTTTCCATTGTAACACAGTGCAAGCATCACTGTAGAAACAAAATACATTGGCAAAGGTTTGTACCCTTTTTATGTTTGGGGGCCAGAAAGAACACAATCATACAAAGTTAGCTCATAAAAACAAGATAAAAGACCAAAACCACTAAAATAGTAACAAAGTCACACAAGCAACAAATGCCAACATTCCAGTCTAATATGCACATTAATGATCCTAGAAATAAATAACATACTAATCTGACCTGTTGGCTTTATACTCATTTATTGAATTAATAAACAATCTGCTTCCCACCAAAAGATGGCAGTAGTGTTAAAGAGAAGTGAAGAGGACTAGAGAATCAAAGCTGGAAGGCCAGAAAGTAATTCACATAGGTAACAGATAAAAGGTGTACAACCTTAATGTCACTGACTGCAAAAGAAACCCCAGTTTATTATATTAATTCTGCATTCTGCATCAGCAAAAGTAAATATATTTATAATATATACCATAACTGAGTAAGAGGGCATCAAAATGCACACCAATTAAACAAATTCAAGGATTTTTTCTTTTTTTAGACCGTTATGAAGGGCATCGCAGCACAAAATGGTATTCAGATATCTTGGAAATACAACAGAGTTTTAAAAATTGTTCATCGTTAAGTGACATTAAGCTCATAAGTTAAAATGTTGCTTTTCATACTTACATCATTATTGTTATTAAGAGATCTGGGATCTGGGTTTATTTGGATCATCTGCTTGTGATGTTGTGTTGTGTGTGCAGGTTTGACAGACATGGTTGAGAACATTCTTGTTCAGATTTTTTCTCAAACAGTAAAAAGACTTTTCCCTCTGGCCAATATAACAAGCTTACAATGTGAATGGCCTTCCCCCTGTGTTGCCAGGACAAGAGATCAAAGTTCAAAACAAATTCTATAAATGAGTCAGCAGTTTACACAGAAGTCATCGTCTCTGTGTTCATGATACAGGTAAATATGCTCTTCACTAGCTGTGTTGCATTTTCTCCTCACAGATTAAAAAAATCTGAATTTATGATTATGATTATGATTATTATTATTATTACTTTATCAGTATTTTTATATTTTATGATAATTTTATGGATTTCTACAAGTCCCCAAAATATATTTTTAATCTTGTGTCAATTATTTTCTTGTGTGCACAATATTTGAAACAATTAACCTTTGACTTCAGGGGTCCATAGATTTAACTGTTCTCAGCTCTTGTCAAGTGTTGGGCAAAATATCATTTGACACACTGATGATAAGCTTTAATGTTCATGAATATGTATTTATTATCATGTTTTATTCCTAAAAATGTTTGTATACCCAACCAGCTGATCACAATATAAACAATATTCAGTTATGACACACACAGCCATAAATTCTCTAACAGCAATACTTTCCCACATTTTGTTCACCAGGGAATCATGCGGATAACATTTGCCTGTTTGCTGCTGCTTTGTGCAACCGTGCTCTCTCAGGATGCAAACGTCTCTCAGCGTTACAGAAAATTCATAGAGCAGCATATCAAGGGGACAATGAGTGCGGACCGTTGTGACGATGAGATACGAACTAGACGCATCTCCAAAACCAACAGCAATGAGTGTAAAGAGACCAACACCTTCATCCAAGCCACCACCAATTTAGTTAGAGCCATCTGTGAGCGTGCAGGAGAGCCATATGGTGACATGACCAAAAGCCTCCAACCTTTCAGCATTGTAGTCTGTAAACTGAGAAACCAGGATGCAAGACAACCCCGCTGTCAGTACCGTGGTCAACGGTACACCAGGAGAATTGCAATCAAATGTGAACAAGGCTTTCCTGTGCATTTTGAAAGGGATATTGTACACTTTGAAAACTGATTAAACAGTACCTGTGTACTCCAGCCTCCTGTTAAATAAAAAACATTTGACAGCTCACAGTTGTGTCTGTATTTTAATACAGTCATGTGTAATAATTAATAATTGATTGTAGTTGTACCATTGGAAACAAGATCATTATTCATATTTACAACACCACTGGTCATTGTCAGAAACTTTTCTTTTTATGTAGGAGTGATTGTACAGGCTACTGAAAAAATTAGGCCAATTAATCCACTATAGACATTCAATCAATAATAACTAATACGATCAGCATGTATGTGGTTTTTCAAAACAGACGTTGGCAACCTGTTTGATGGTCATCAGGAAAATGAAGCGATGATAGAGACAGGGTTAATCTCTCTGCATGTAAACATGACCTGTGTTGCACATATAAACAGTCTTTTTAATGCTATAATATATCAATCTTGTAAGGGAAGGCTGAAATAGAACAGACTTAGATAAAAAGGTAAACTTAACTTACGTAACTTAAATAGGTAAGTTCCTTTATATCAGTCCTGTAGCCCGTATCTTGAACTGTGACACAGCCTTATTATTTTGTTTTCCGAACATTATGCGGTTAATGTTTACAGTCCACTGCGTTCAAGGCTTCCCCAGAATTGAAACTGACCTTTGATCAATAAACATTTCATTTGAATTAACCTGCTGTGTTCTTTCTGTATTTGTTTAATTTAGCACCAAAAGATGGCAGCACTATGATGTATTATTATAAAAGATAGCAAAGGGCAGAAAGGAACTGCCAGAGTCAACAGGGGTTTGGAAAGATAAGATCAAAACTTAAACTGACACTGAAATAAGCCTCCATGGGTCAGCCTCCACAGCAAAACAGTATGCAATATGCAAAATGTAGGCAAGTGAAGGAAAAACTATGCTCTTAGTTCTCATTATGTCATCATACTAATGACCCCCCCTAAACAATTCAGATTAGCATGGATGTGTTGTGGGAGACCAGAACCAACAACATATTTCTGTAGTTATATTGGTAAACCACTTGGTTCCAAACCAAAAACTGAACCAGTCAACAAGCATCTTGATTAGTTACTAACTTGCTACCTTTGTTCTCATTGAATGGACAAACCAGAAGATGGCAGCAGAGTTAAGAGAAAGAGAGAGAGAAAGGCACAGAGAGAGAAAGAGGGCTATTTGTGTTAACAAAAAGGATACACAGATATCCAAGTTGGAAGGACAGAAAGAAACTACCAAGTCAATATGAGAGGTAAAATATAGTAAATACAAATATAATGTTACATATTTGACTATAACAAACAAAACAAATTGACCAAAGAAGTTGCATTAATGAAAAGTAAGTATATAAGTAAAATGTATTTTATTATATCAGGCCCTGTTCGAAGTAAACTGCACACGTGTAGGTTCATGATGAATGTTATTTTGCGTTAAGTCTAAACTGAAACCTGTTTTTCCTAGTTAGGATTATGTTTGCTGTACCAGAGGTGTGAAACATACAGCCCCATAGGCCGGTTCTGGCCAGTGTGTTGGGTTTGGCGGCCCATGAACTAAAATGAGTCTGAGGCGTTTGACAGCATCTTTATGAAGAAAGTAACACCCACACACTTACTCACTCCAAACCACTAATTTATGAACAATGCTTTGATCACAGTCATATTTTGTCGCCACATTTACAGATCACTTTGATCTTTGAACGTCACAGGTGTTGCACTATGTGGCAGCTTCATCTTGGATGTTGCAGGCCGCTTAAATTTCTGAGTGTATGAATCATGTGTTTTCATGATAAGCAGTGTTAAAATCAAACTGCTTGTGCTGTCATGTTTGAAGATTGGAAAGACTTGGTTGGTTCATTTCCACTTTGGTGGTGTACCAAAAAGCCAACATGATGGCAGACCAATCATATTGTTTTGAATCAATCTGTTCCCTCCCATTCTATTGTTTCCTCCCATTTAATAGACTCACATTAAGATTAATCACCCTGCAGTACAATCTGAATCAACTGCTGTCTCAAGTGGAATAATCAGAAAATGCTGATTATATTTTGCATATCTCTCAGGTTCACAATTGGGTGTAAGTATGCACACAAAATTCAGTTTCATTTCTGTTTCTATTATTGTCACCTTATTATTGTAACTTTGATGTCAATAATATATGGTATTCAATTGGTCTTTAAGGATGCACAGATGACCAAAGCTTTGTAAAAAAGACTGTTTGTCTTGGAGAAGATGTGACTCTAACTTGTAATCGCCAGACTGGATCGTCAGGATACTTATTTTGTATCAGACTTGTTGTTGGAAACTTGCCTGAAGTCTTAGGAAGCACGTATACTTTTGATAACGGCCACGTTAACAAGACTCCTTGTATTACAACAAAACAGGAGCCTGGAACATTTGTTCTACATATTACCAAAACAATTTATTTATGTAATGTAATTTAAAAAGTCTTGAAAACCTAACCTACGGTCTCATCTCATGTAACATTCATCAGGAACCTACACGTGTGGTTCCTGATGAATGTTATGTTGTTAATGTTAATGAATGACCTTGTTATAAGGGCGGCAGTAGCTCAGTGTG